ACACACACACAACCAAAACCCAAACGTCATGGAAATGGAACCGCTGGAGAATCTAGAGATATTCTGCCTTCTGTAAATACACAGAGTGCGTATGTGTGTGTGTGTTTTTAGGTCTTTGGCATGTAAAGTTAGCGTGTAGTGTGCATGAGTATGTGTTTTAAGATATTTTAGCCCTCCGCTATGTAAACGGTGCGGTCACTAAAAGCATCTCCATCCGCCGTTTCTCTTCAGCTCTGGGCCCTCGTTGTTTAAATTCAATATTCGGAGGCGAAATATCACCCCGAGCCCATTTACCTCATGCATTCATGTACACAAAATCCACCTAAGGAGTTTCATTAATACTGTGAGACGGCGAGCGCATATCCAGCAGGCTTTTGCACTTAGTTTTGGTAGGGGGCAAGATGCTCTCTGTGTGCTAACTGACACACACATACTGTAGTTTTGCCTTCAGGGCCTGAACTCAAGCAGACACGGATTCCTAAGTCTGCTGACCCTGACACTGCACGCTGGACACAATGGAGACAGTTTTGTTTGGGGGGTTTCCCCGCATTGCCATCCAACTGTACTCCTCTCACTGTCTGCCTCACTCTGTGTCATAAAAGGGAGCAATGCATGCTTTAATATTTCACATACGATAAAAATACTCCCAAAATAGACTGAATTTTTCACTTAGAGATGTTAAGGTCTAGGCAATGCATGCTTTAATATTTCACATATGATAAAAATACTCCCAAAATAGACTGAATTTTTCATTTAGAGATGTTAAGGTCTAGCCAAGTTTGTCTTGACGAAATGTCCTTTTTTAGGTCTTCTTGGTGGTGCATTTGTGTTTTTGTGTTTGTGTGCATGTGTTTGTTTTGGCTGCCAGAGTGAATTACGACCCGCTGACTGCACACTCCATGGTGCCACACAAACCATCCCACATTGGGCCAGTTGGCACTGTTTGTGTATGCATGTGTATGTGTGTGCATCCATGCGTGTGTTTGCATGTTTGTGCATGTGCATATGTTTGGCAGCGTGTGCATATGTGCGTATTATAGGAGTGTCAACCATTTTACACTTTTCTAAATATACTTCTAAGTAGACTTTTCTGATTTGAGCAAACTATATTTGTTCCAATATGACAGGAAACGAATAGGGAACATTCTCAGAACTTTGTGTTCTGCGTTCTGGCAAGGTTCTCTCAAAGTTATGAACAAAGAGTATTTCAGTAGCATTAATAGAACATTTGTCTTTACAACGTTGGACTGTAACATTAGCACAAAATCATTATTTATACATCATTCATGGAAAGTTTTTTTTCTGGTTGCACGTTTGTCTAACATTTCTTGAACAGTACTAGTTTCAGAAGGTTCAGAGGACATTCCTTAGTAACATTCCCATAATGTGTGTAAAATTATAAAATAGAACATTCCCTTAATGTTTTCTGCAACATTCATAAATCTAAGAATTGTTTTTAAATATTTAAAAACTGGATATTTTCGGTAGTTCAGAGAACATTCAGAAATAACATCCTAGTAACTTAATGGAAACGTTACCAAAATGTTCTTAAATGTTTTTCTTTAAAATTTGTTGCATGTTTGTCTGTTTTTTAAAATGTTACTACTTAATAGTTTCAGATGGTTCCAAAAAGTAACATTCCCATAATGTTTACAAAATGATCAAATGGAACCTTAATGTTTTCACTAATGTTCAACCAAGAAAAAAATATGTTTTTTTAAACTGCGCATTTTGAATGTTCAGAGAATATTCGCAAGATAATTTTTAAAAAATAAGTTTGGTTACGTCTTTAAGACAGTTGACGGTTAACTGTGAGGGAAATGCAAATGTAAAAGTTTATTTTTTAATTTTTTTTATAAATAATTCACACACTGCAGTTTGAGTTCCTGTATTTTTTTCGTTATGTTTTAAGCATAGCCTCACTTACCTGAAGGCACGTTGTTCCGGTCACAAATTCCTTCTTTGAGCAATTTATCCCGAATTTCCCAACTGAATATTCCGGGATTTTCCCGTTTATATTCCTCAACGCGCTTCTCCACATGTAGAGATGAAGTCTGTTAAAAATAATAAAAATAAAAACAGTGAACAAGGTGCCTGATTCAATTCTAAGACTCTTATTTCGAATTCAGGGTCATTATGTCAAAAGACACTCGGCGTTTTCAGTTAATAATCGACCTGTTGCTTTGAGTTTATCCACACATTTCCTTGGAAATATAAGCTGCTCCGAGCAGCTGAGTCCTTAACCATCTTCAAGAAACGACTAAAAACACATCTGTTCCACCTTTATTTGACCCTCTAACTCTAGCACTTTCTATTCTATTTTAATTCTACTTTATCTATATGTAGCTTCTTTTTGTTTTATTTTTAATAAAAAAAAAAAAAAACGAACAAACACTAGCTTTCTATTTTTTCTATTCTATCTACTTGTTTTTCTTTGTGTGTGTGTGTATATATATATGTGTATGCGTATGTATGTATGTATGTATGTATATATATGTGTGTATGTATATATGTATATGTGTATGTGTGTGTTTGTTTGTATGTATGTCTTTATTTGACCCTCTAACTCTAGCACTTTCTATTCTATTTTAATTCTACTTTATCTATATGTAGCTTCTTTTTTGTTTTATTTTTAATTAATTAAAAAAAAAAAAACTAACAAACACTAGCTTTCTATTTTTTCTATTCTATCTACTTGTTTTTCTTTGTGTGTGTGTGTATATATATATGTGTATGCGTATGTATGTATGTATGTATGTATATATATGTGTGTATGTATATATGTATATGTGTATGTGTGTGTTTGTTTGTATGTATGTATGTGTGTGTATGTGTGTATATATATATATGTATATGTATACACCTTGGTACGTGTACTGCGTTAGGCTAACCGAGACTTGTCATTTGCACTTATATATTGTTGCTCTTTTGTTAGTTTTGACTGCTTTTATTGTCCTCATTTGTAAGTCGCTTTGGATAAAAGCGTCTGCTAAATGACTAAATAAATAAATAAAATACAAATAAATAAAAATATCCGCACGCCCAGCTGCAACAGATGAATCTGCACTTCAATGCCTCCCTATAGGGCCTCACCTTGGATTTAGTGCCGCCGATGGCTCCAGGCCGGATGGATCCAGTCTCCTGATAGCGGCACAGGATTTTGGAGACGCAGCCGTGAGAGACTCTGAGCTGGCGGGATATCATGCAGGGCCGGATCCCGTGATGGGCCATCTCCACTATCTTGTGTCGAATGTGGTTCGGTAGAGGCCGGCCGTTGATGAAAACTCCTCCAAGCTGGTTGACTCGACCCTGACCCATCGGAGTTGAAACTGCATCGAAGCCAACCCAAATTATGACAGTGGCGAGATAACATAATTGCAGAAACATGAAAGAAAAAAATCATTCTGCGTAGGTAAACAGGCCTAACTGAAGGGGTAAGACAGTTCAAGTAGCCTATAGGCTCCATGTGCATTTAATTCTCTGACATAAAAGCAACCCAGTAAAACATCAGCATAATTGCTGCTTTAAATTTTAGGTAAACAAAAATGTTGCTAAAGTTACAATACTTTTTCCAGCCTATTTAAATTTATTGACTGATTCAGAAACTCTGAACTCATGCAACTGAGTAGGCTATCGCGACAGATAATTAAATGCATTTATACAAATAGTCTATTGTTAATGATGAAAATATAGAAATGATGATTCCGATTAAAACAGCCTTACAGCTTTAACTTTGTAACTTTTTTTTTACATCAATAACTTTTTTATCTAATACCCTGTACAGTGAAATAGTTAGCCTATTAGTTCTTCATATATGAAAGGTAGCTACTTTGCTAATACAGTGAATCACTGAAGAAGAAAAAAGCATTTAAGAATGAAGAGTTCAGAAAAGCAACATAATACAATATGTATACTAGCAATACACAACTTTTAATATTATAATATTTAAATGTCAGCAAAAGTTAAAAAAAAAAAACATTTGGAAAAGTAACTTAGTCAAGTTAGTCTACTCATGCAACACAAATACCAAAATGCTTTACACTTGGGCTTCCACTATTAAATTAAACCATTTTAATGTGCATATTTAATGTGCATATTTACCCTCCATTGGGAAGCCGCTGCGGGGATAGTTCTGAGAGAGAGATGGACGCATCATCCTGCACTTCAACAGGCTTAAAAATGCATGTAAATATTCCACAATCAAAAACAAAAAGCATAAGCTCCGATGGTCTTTTTGTATCTTTACATGAAGAACACAAGAATAAGTACTCGAGGATGAAATTAAATGTTATTAGTCAGATGAAGTCTCTTCTCTTTTGTGGTCCTTGGTCGTTGTTTTCATTATGTGATGAGAATTATAATCGCAGCGTTATTGTTATTAACAGGCGTTTAGGATGAGCGCGAGTTCTCAAACTACGGAGACATAACATTTCTGAGTTTGCAGAGACCCCCTTGTCTATTACTCGAACAGCGCGTTCTGATTGGTCCACAGGATCCCGTAACCGAGAGCTGATTGGTCGACGAAGTACACTTTGCTCTCTAAAAGCGTTCCAAAGTGGACATCGAAAATATTTCAGCGACTGATGATGATGATGTGTAATTAAATTATACTTAAAATATTAAAAAATATACAGACATGCAAACACTACAAAATATAATAAAATAGCAAATTATAATATAACGTAGACTATTTAGGCCTAGTGAGAGTGAAACAATAATGTAATAATATAACAAATCAAAGACAGAATGAATCCATGAACAAAAATGCATTTACTTAAAAAGATTGACTCTGTTATTTAACACTCTCTCTGACTGATCCACACACACACACACACACACACACAGTGACTTCAATGACATGTGGCTCTTTTGTTGGACTAAAAAGAAACTTCAAATGTTTTCTTTCTGCCTGCGCGCGGGGACAATGGGGCGCACGCGGGAGGGAAACACTCGGGGGAAACGGGGGTCCTTTCACGTGCAAAACACTAGACTAGATTATTCTCTCTTACTTAAAAAGTTAAACCAACGCCAAAGAGGCCGGACCCTGGAGACACCGAGACAACTATTTAATGGTTAACAAAGAATGTGTGTGCGTGCTTGTTAATGTGTTTCTATTCGATGCATTAATTGCATTATTCATTATTTTCCTGTCAGGTTAATATATTTTTTATTACCTAATTATCTGTTTATATCTGCTGTAAGTCATCTTATATTTGTGCATTTAGCCTACAGAGGCTGAATAGGAAATACATGCAGAGAATTCGCAGGACATCTGAAGTTTCGTTAACTCTGAAAAATAATTCTGAATAGAACCAAACGGATAGGAGAATGTATGTTTGTTTATTATGCATTTATTTCCTACTTTAAACTTCTAATAAAAGCCTAATATACTGGCATGGTGTGAAACTTGAAAATGTACGGTACATCTACCTTATTAAAAATTATAGTTTACCGTTTATTCAGCATTAAAAAAAGCAGAGGGTGGTTGTTTGAAAAGGAGAGACCATGCGGCGGTATGATGCATGTTTCAGCTTTGAAACACCGGATCCGCGTGTCGAATCCATTTTTGGAGAACAAATCTCGAGCAGAGGTGCGCTCTGATGTGAGCTTAATTAGTTTTATTATCAAGGGTCAAATATCAATATTCTCTAAGCAAATAGGCCTAGTGTCAACATAATTTGAATCGGTTTTACAATATGAAAGTTGTTAAAAAGTTTGAAATGCATGCTTTTAGTCAAGACAAAGACATCTGAATAGTTTTTTGTAACTGTGATCACCTTACAAAATAACATGATATTGAGTATGTTGGTCAAAACTGTCATTAAAATTAGACTTGCCAGTGTTGGAAAGAAAAGTGTATAAACCTGTACAGGAATGTAGCAAGAATTCACCAACACAAACACCATTTGACCATTTAATGAACTTCTTGAACAGTGCATATGTTGTTGTGTCATTTGTCTTGTGATCTGTCTTGTCCAGCCTGAGGAAGGTCACCACCACTTTAACCTCAATTAGATGGGGTTCACTCAGAGAAAACGTAAATCCTCCCCAAAGACAACTTTAGGATCAAATCATCTGTCCTGCGTTTACTGGCACAACCATGAGCTCCAGGCTAGAGAAGGCATGGTGCGGATGGAGGACAACATCGTTGAGATATCCTGAGACAGCTATAGGTATTGAAAACATTTATCATTCAGAAAAGCTGTCTGAAAACATTCATTTGTTTCACAGAAATGCTATTGGAAATAAAATAATGCATTTTTATTCCACCTTATTTTTAAAGTTTTTGATGCAGCTATATTTGTTCCCAGAATGTTCGAGGAATTGAGGCTTCCGGTGTAATTCACTTCCTGTTATTTTACCTGTTCAAAAACAATCCGTTATGCTGCTTGATATCGCAAACATAGGCCTATTTGTTATCATACTTTTTATATTTATTTTCGTAATCATGAACACACTTGTTTACAATTTACAGACGAATAGTTTTACCATTTACTGCACTTGTTATTCTTAGTTATCAAACGTTAAAACTTGAAACTTCCGCGTTTCAAAATACGTTATTTTACCTGTTCAAAAACAATCCGTTATGCTGCTTGATATCGCAAACATAGGCCTATTTGTTATCATACTTTTTATATTTATTTTCGTAATCATGAACACACTTGTTTACAATTTACAGACGAATAGTTTTACCATTTACTGCACTTGTTATTCTTAGTTGTTAAAACTTGAAACTTCCGCGTTTCAAAATATGGTGGGTACATGCACACACACACGCAGTGATTTCATATTGTATATATGAATTACATGAAAACAGCCTTTTTCTTCATTTTTCTCATTTATTAGCCAACCGAGAGGTGTGTTCTTGTATGTCAACAGAACAATTTCAATGTGCAAATACAATTCAAACAGGTTTCACAACAATTATTGAGGCATAACAGTAAAAACACACATTTCCTAATTCTAATAAACATATTACAGAGTATATAAGGGCTGTGTACAAAGCCCATGACCCTACGTATAGTGTTACTAACAGGGCTGGAGTGCATTAAGGGAAGTATAGTCATCCTAGGCAGTAACACTGGGTTCAGGTAAGTGTTGTGCAGTCACTGGGCCAGTGTGTGCGGGAGAAACAGACATATAAACAGATGTGCGCACATCAGGCCTGATGGTCCAGACAGTCACAGCGATAGTGGTACCATGAGAACAAGGGGAGGTCACACTGAATGGTACAGAAATATCAATTTCATTGGAGGTGAACATTTTGATCGTCAGTTTCATTCTTTACAGTTTGGTCCTTGGTTTTGTGAGTCAGCAAGACCAAGTAGACTGAGTTCACAACAGACTCTTTCTGTTTCCTTTCAGGCTCACATCTATGAAATAACTGGACCAGGACAGAGGACAAGAGCATCTTCTCTCTTCTCCTTATCCTCATCCCTGTTGAAAAGACCAGCATACAGTATATTGAGCTTTGAATGCTGGTGTGCCTTCCAGGTCTCTTGACCAGCAAGATTTTCTTGGTCCACCAGCTTTTCCAGCAAGACCAGCACTAACCAGCAGTTTACACTACTGTTCAAAGTTTGGATTCGGTAAGATTTTTCAGTGTTTTTGAAACAAGTTTGTTAAGTTCACTATTTAGTTGATCAAAAGCACAGTAAAAACAGTAATATTGTGAAATATCATTACAGATAACTGTTTTCTATTGTAATATATTTTAAAATGTAATTTATTCCTGTGAGCAAAGCTGAATTTTCAGCATCATTACCCCAGTCTTCAATGTCACATGATCCTTCAGAAATCATTCAGATTTTCTGCTCAAGAAACATTTCTGATTATTATCAGTGTTCAAAGCTGCTTAATTTAATATGATTTAATGTTCTTTCTTTTAAAAAAGAAAAAAATCTTACCGACCCCAAACTTTGTTGTTAGTCTTTTCAGCAGGGATCAAAAAGGCAGTAAACAAATCATTGTGTAAAGTAAAATCATATATATATATATATATATATATAGCTGTGAAGCTGGTGACTACAAAACACTACTGCACATTATACTACTTTCTCTACAAGTGTTGCTTTGTACAGCACGGATAACAGCAGATAATGGCTGTTTACTTCCTTAACACTCAGGGAAATAACCTTTGCTTGTCTAAATCACTTCTGCAATCATTCAAATACCCCCACATTCACTTTATAAAACCTTTCTTACAAAAATCTAAGCAAAACCTATACACAAACGACTGCGTCACGACACTTGTCTACCAACAGAGGGCAGACCATTGTATCTACCTACAACAACAGCACAACTTTATAGAAAATTCACTTGATAATTCCTATTAAAATCTTCAATTCCTTCAATAAATAAACCAATAAATAAAAAGTAAAGGCACATAAGAGCTCATTTAAAGAAGTAGTGATTGAAAATGATTTACACACCCTCATGTTTTGCTCTTGTCCTCTTTGGAACATGATGTAACTTAAGGGTGGGTAAATTATAGAATTGTAATTTTTGGATGAACTATCCCTTTAAGAGAATATGATCAAGTATGTTTACCATTCTAAAGAAAATGGCCTTTACCCTAATAGAAGGAAATTTAGACCATCAAGTGTCCTTAATTATCGTCATAAAACCATTCAGTCTAAACAATCTGGATGATATATTCAGTATAATGCCAAAGCAGGCTAGTTGTGTTTTGCACTCAAGTTAACAAGCCACAGTTAGCTGGATGAATATATCAGTTTATGACACCAAGACAAATGCCTTATGGGAGAAATGCAAAGTTTCATTAGTGGGTCAGTAAACACTTGAAAGCACCTCTTGGCTGCAGTCCCAGTGTGCGAGTCTTTATCAGTGATTTCTCTATGGCTGCATCCTGTCACTGCAAGTACACAGCAAAACTAGCTGCTCTTCAGGTGTCAGATTCCTGCTTGCTTCACCCGCATCTTTTCTAAATGTTCACATTCAATTCACATTAGCGAAATTTGGCGGGTAAAAAAATGCCATTGTCAGTTTTATAAGTCACAGGCTCGCACAGGATACCTGTGCTTTCTGTTTGTCAACGCGAGCGAAATCTGTGTGGCCAACTTTTTTTCAGGCGAAAAAAGTAATTCCTATTTGAATGACTGGAATTTGCCTGCGCAATTTTGTTATGCAAATCTTCCCACATTGTGATGTAGACATGTGGGGGCGTGTTTAAACGAGGCGTTTTAGGGGGGCGTGGACCAGTCTAAACTTTTATAAAGAATATCTCTTTGGGTTTGAGACTTTAGTCTTTGCAACTTTAGGGATCTTATCTATTCACGAACAGCTTGTAACACTCCAAAGAGAAAGGAAAACTTGAAATCGCATCATATGACCCCTTTAACAGAGAACTGTTTGAGTACGATTTGTATAGCTTTTCACCAACACTTTCACAACATCATATCAGATACCGCTTATAAATGACTAATTTGTCATTGCTTAATGTAGAAACGGCAAGTCAGCTGTACTGATTCGATTAACAAGGAGGCTTTCCTCAAGTATTGAAGGCTGACCTTCGTTTCCAAGCATAGTTCAGTATCTAGTTTTTGTTTAACATCATGCAGGTTTTCTTCTAAACTAGGTACATCAGATACTGCTCATCACAGGTTTGCGTGGTTCAAAAATCCGATGAACGAGTTGGTAAAGTGAGTACTAAGGTCAATGCATTGTGATGCTACGCACATTAAAAGCACACACAGACGATAGCAAAAAGAGGTTGTCAGTTAGTTGTCAAACGACACGGTTTTACCGTGATAGATGCATAGGTGAAGTGGAGAACAAAGAGGTGGTATAAAATTAGCAATTTCTATAGTAAAGCTATTGATCCATAAGAACAAAGAGGTCTTCTTTTCAAAAACTGAATAGTATATGATACACCAAGAGGATGACAACACCCAGCAGACATTTTGAGAATATCATCCAATAATCCCGTTTGCTTGGCCGATTTACATAAGTGTTTTACCTAGCTACCAGACTTTATTAGTGAATTTCCAGTAAATGTCAAATAAGTGCAGGTCTCATTTGCTATGATAAAACTGTATTATGTACAGTGGGGTCCGGAAATCTGAGACCACATTTTATTATTTAAACCTCGATATAAACAGAATGATTTGTATAAAAAAATAAAGGAAGGTTTTGACATAAAATAGAAAAGAAGTACTAATTTTATGCTAGTATGCAGATTTGTGACCAGTTTTTTAATTAAACGCTGCACAGTGCTAACATTGCTAAGGTCATGGATAGATTCTCGGGGAATGGATGAACTATTTGAATGCAATTTAAGTTGTTTTGGATAAAAGTGTCTTCCAAATGCATAAATGTAAATGTAATTAATACAAATGTTGGGTTAAATGATAAAACAATACAAAATAGATGCATTTTCACTAGTGGTTTCACTTTTGGACCCCACTCTCTGTAGTGGCCCCACAACCAAAATCTGAATATCATTGCATTAGCAGCTAATTATCACACCAAATGGCAGCTGTGGGGTTTTCCCAGAACTATTTTTGCAACAATGTTTAACCAACAGATGTTTTGGTGATTTTTAGAGGATGTATGAAGTCAGTTCTTCTCAAGCTCACACAGGTGTCCTAGCCAGAAGAACCTCAGGTGGCCATGCACATATATGAGGCCCATGAAGAGCAGCACAAAAATGGACAGGAAGGAGAAGATGGCGCACACGTATCCGGCTGCGGTGGATGCCGTAGGGCAGGTTCTGCATCTGATAGTCTGGTATGTATGGCATAGAGGGCATCTGATGCACCAAGGCTTCTCCTTGCACACAAGCAACATATGCAGACTCTTCTCGCTTAAGGTGTGCAGGTACTCCCAAGATTTTGGGCTGAAATAGTTGAAAAAGTGGCAGATTTTGCACCCATACTCCTTGTCGGGAAAACCCAGTCTGTACTATTAAGTGATCTGATAATGACTCATTAGATACTATCCTTCTTTAGTTATTGAAATTACTATTTAAGGAGTTACTTGTATTTTTCCAGTTTCCCTATACTAATTGAACAGACACTAGTGTGAATTCCAAGTAACATTTGTAACACTTTACAATAAGGTTCCATTTGTTAACATTAGTTAAATACATAGTTAATATGAACTAACAATGAAAAATACTTATGAAGCATTTATTATTCTTAGATAATAAGAAAGTTCAAAAGTTGTATTTGTTAATATTAGCCTAATGGACCTAAGTTAACCAGAAGTAACACTGAAAAGTTGTATTTTTATTAACTAACTTTAATAAATGTGACAAATGCAGTGCTCATTTTTAGCTAGCCTAATGCAGAAACTAACATTAACAAATCGAGGGCTGAGAACCAGAAAGGCATAAGTGACATTTAACCAACTTTACAGGAGAGCCAAAACAACAATTTTTACCATAGTTTGATCTGACTTTGTGTACTGATTTCAATTCTTTATAATAAAAATGTTAATAAAAAATTTGTACACTCATGGATGACAGTACTTTTGCCAGTAGAAAGACCTCGTTAAGAGCTTTCATTTGATATATATACATCTCCATTTCACCAAAAATGTCACTTACGCCCTTCTGGTTCTCACCCCTCGAAATGGTCAATAAATAATCATTACACAAATATAAGCAATCGTAACCAAATGTTACTAGTGATTATACTGTAAAAAATTATGTTTGTAAATAAAACAGAGAAGTTGGCCTATGTTTTGCAAAAAAAAAATACTTTCACATAATTTAATCCAATGTGTTACTTGAGGTTTCTTTGTAATTATTTGTGAACTTTACTATAGAGTGAAAATTGTTTCAAAGTAGCCAAATTTTTCCCAGTATACTGGGATTGATAGAGGTAGGCACATCTAATTTACCTAATAAATAAGTACTGGTTCAACTATATAAAAGATACGGTAACACTTTATTTTAAGGTGTCCTTGTTACACACGTTACATGTATTTACTATTATAATAACAATTAATTATGCATAATTACATGCAAGTAACCCTAAGTCAAACCCTAACCCTAACCATATGTGACCCTGGACCACAAAATCAGTCATAAGTAGCACGGGTATATTAGTAGCAATAGCCAACAATACATTGTATGGGTCAAAATTATCGATTTTTCTTTTATGCCAAAAATCATTAGGATATTAAGTAAATATCATGTTCCATGAAGATATTTTGTACATTTCCTACCATAAATATATCAAAACCATAGGATCAAAACCTAATATCTGATCAGTAATATGCATTGCTAAGAACTTCATTTGGACAACTTTAAAGGCGATTTTCTCAATATATTTTTTTTTGCACTCTCAGATTCCAGATTTCAAATAGTTGTATCTTGGCCAAATATTGTCCTATCCTAACAAACCACACATCAACGGAAAGCTTATATTCAGTTTTCAGATGATGTATAAATCTCAGTTTCAAAAAAATGTACCCTTATGGTTTTGTGGTCCAGGGTCACATATAGTAAATACATGTAGTTATTACTCAGTACTTAGCCTATACATGTATAATTACACTGTAACAAGGAAACCTTAAAATAAAGTGTAACCAAAGATAGCCTACTGAAAGTAGCCTACTAGTAACATGAAAAGAAACTAACTAGTATTAATAAACGCTTTAAGGGCTTGTCATACGATGCTCATCTCCTGTCACGCGTTTCTCCGGCTCGCGTTAGTGCTGGCCGAGGAGCGGCCCGTCTCGTGCTCCGGTCGGTCTTTGAGCCAGTAGAGGAGCCACGTTACCATCGCAGACACCATGGCGAGGATGCTGGCCACCGACAGGCAGAGGGGTCCCGCGGGCGAGGGCGGCCCGCCGTGGCTGTGAACGAAAATGAGGCCCATGAAGAGCAGCACTAGCATGGACAGCAACGAGAAGACGACGCACACGCATCCGGTGGTCAGCGCGAGACGCCTGCAGTTTTGGCAGCTCTCGTAGCGCGAGACCGAGTCCTGGGACAGCGTGGTCGCGGTGGACGGCGTCGCGTGACCAGCCATGGACGCGTCCTCCTCGCGCCTGAGCGCAACGAGCGCCGGGTGCAGCGGAGGCCGGTGAGGCGGCAGAGCATCCTGAGGCACAGGGTCCGAGTCGATGTACAGAGGGAAGTTCTCCGTCACCTTGGTGTTGTTAGGCAGGTTCTGGATCCGGTAGTCCGGGACCGGCGTGCGGTGGCGGCACACGGGGCAGCTGATGCGCCACGGCCGCTCCTCGCACAGCTGCAACGCGTGCAGACACTCCTCGCAAAACGTGTGCAGACACTCCAAGATCTTGGGCGCCCGACGGTCGAGGTCAAAAAAGTTGTAGCAGACTTTGCATTCATATTCCTCATAGGGAAACGCCTTGGGTACCGGAACACCGGGAGGCTCCGGCCCGTTAGCTGCTGCATCCGCCGCTGCCATGGCATCTCGCGCTGCCTCACATCCTCCACACAATGAACGCGAGCCAGTCACGCGAGCAGCCTTTTCTTCTCTTTATTCGTCAGCGAACGCTATTAAACCCGGACATTTTTGTGTCAGGCCTTTTTTTTTTTTTAACGCTTATTGTAGTCTCCGTGCACGTTGAGTAAATAATGAACCGTATCGTTCCGGTGATGTAATGCCGCCTGAAGGGCGACTTTAATTGCTCTCCTCCAGAACCGATCCGGAAAGATGCGGGACGCGGCGGGAATCACACCGCAATCAGAGCATCAGACACGCGTCCTGGTCAAACAGCACGAGCCTTCGGCTAAACGATGCTGTTTACGTCAATAGATTTAACTCCTTTTTTGCTGTCCAAACCTCTCTGTGGTTTCTTCCATGTATCATTCTGGCCATTTAACCGCGTTTATTCCCCTACCTGTTTGACATTTCAACTGGCTCACGTTGTTTTCATGGAAACGAATAATCCAGAAATATAAGGCTTGCCTAACCTATATTTCAGCTTCATTCACAGACTTCCCAGACACCCTCCATTCACATAAATAAACATGTTTATTATGTTTACATTTTGTGACAACTAGCCCCAGGGTCCCTTTTGTGTTGTTATATTGGATACATTTACATTTAGTCATTTAGAAGAGGTTGCATGTTCTGAAATGTCGTATAAAGCAAATCTGCAGGACCGGACAGTTTTAGCAATGTGGTCTGAGAAATGCAGCTTATCGTCAATGACAACTCCAAGGTTTCTTGCTGTTTTTGAAGAAGTTATGGTTGATGAGCCTAACTGGATGGTGAAATTTTGATAAAGTGATGGGTTTGTTGAAACTGCAAGCAGTTCTGTCTTAGCCAGGTTGAGTTGAAGGTGATGGTCCGTCATCAACAAGAAATGTCTCTTAGACATGCTGAGATGCAAGCAGCTATCGTCAGATCATCAGGATGGAATGAGAGTTGAGTGTCATCAGCATAGCAGTGATATGAAAAGCCATGTTTCTGAATGACAGAACCTAGTGATGCCATGTAGACAAAGAAGAGAAGTGGTCCAAAAACTCTGAAGTAATGAATTTAGGTAAAGGGGTGCAGAGCCAGTGGTGGTTTTGTAGGCAAACATTAATGCCTTGAATTTTATGCGAGCAGCTACTGGTAACCAGTGCAAATTGATGAACAGAGGTGTGACGTGCGTTCTCGGGTCATTAAAGATTAATCTTGCAGCGGCATTATGGATTAATTGTAGAGGTTTGATAGAAGTGGCTTAATTAATCCCTGTGGGTTGTTATAAAACTTTTTGGAAAGATTGGGATACCTTTGATCCAAAAATCATGAATATCCAGAAAAAAAGAGTGGATTTAGGGTGGATTTCAGGAACAAAATACAATTTTAGTCAAATAATACAATGTTTGTATAGATGTAGAAGAACAGTAGAAGAATTTTACAAAGGTACAAAACAGATTTCAGTACTTCAATAGGTTGGTATATTAACATTATATCAAATTAAATTACGGTATTTAACTGTAAATTTAAGTTAAAACCGTAAAACCTAACGTTGCTACCGTATTTTTTACGGTAAAATTCCGGTAACCACAGCTGCTGAAAATTTTACTGATTTTTTTTTACAGTGTACCCCTAAACCTACCTCTCACAGGAGACTTTGTGCTATTTCAGATTTTCAATACACTTCATTCTGTGTGAATTTTGAAAAGTGGGGATATGGGGTAATGTCCTAAAAAAGTCACCTTCTCCTTGTAATACCTGTCATACCTTTGTCATTATACAAATTTATGT